GGTTTCTTCCGTTAAAGGGAGTTTTTCCTCCCCACTGTCGCCAAGTGCTTGCTCAAGGGGGATTTGTTGGGTTTTCCCTATGTAATAATATTGATAACAGTAAGGTCTAGACCTTACTTTGTAAAGTGTCCTGAGATGACTTTTGTTGTGATTTGGCACTATACAAATAAAATTTGATTTGATTTGATTTGATTTAGTGCATCTCTAAGCTTCAAACTAATTGAATACATAAACTGGAATTACAACTTTGTGATTGTATGCCACTGCCAACCAGACAAATTCATAAGAATGGGCCCGGATGGACGGACAGACAACCCAAAAACATACTGCCTGCAGCTATGGCTATCGCTGACACAGAGGCGTAAAAGTACTGTCACCTACTGCTGGAGTCTTCCATATGCTCTAGAATTGTTTAATTTCTTTTGATTCAGATCCTGTTATCCTAACCTATTAAGCAAATTCTAACAAGCTACACCAACTGTAACCAACAGATAACATGGTGAAACCAAGTTTCTGAAGCTGCAGAAAAAAAAAACAAAACACAGTGACGATACGATCAGAGCCTGTCACACTTCCTGCAATTGATAAAAATTCAACGCTGCACACGGTGTGTATGCATACGTTTTCTGCACAGGGACTGGTATATGGCATCATCCATTTCCTCTAATCAGGTTTCACTTCTTCTGCCTTACAACCTATAGCACAGAAAATGAGGAAGTGGACCCATGGCTGCATAACAGAGATTTTTTTTTTCTGCAGGTCTGTGGGTGCCTGTCACCCTTCTTCTTACTTTCATGTGTGCTGACATAACTCACTGTCCTGATCTGCATTAGTGGTGTTGTGGTACACCAATGCACACGCACTGCGGATGTGTGAATGTGTGCAAAGGTGTGTTAGTGCTGAAAGAAAATGCCAAACCATTTTGAAAATGAATCAATTAAGGCAAATAAGCAAAACTGTGACACATTTGCTAGTCCGGGATTCTCAAATGTGAGACTGCTATTGTGTAGGAAAGTACGAGTATGATGCCAAACTTGCTATTTGCATGTACTGTGTCCAGAAGCATGTGTACGGGTGTGTGAGACAGTCCTGTTTTACATTAATATCTTAACATGCAGGGCTGTCACCATTTCCTGTAACAATGACCATGTTGTGTGTGTTTGTATGTAAATATGTCCAGAACAGATCCAGAGAAAGACAGAATAGATGATGTGAGTAGGTGTGTCTTCCTCTCACCTGGGTATGGTGACACACTTTGTGTTACTGTTCTGTGTGCTGATGGCTTTTTCTAGCTCATCCAGCTGTCCAGTCTTCTTCAGTTTTTTCACCAGGCTCTTCACAGCTTTTTCACACCACTTCTCCTCCTGTCCTCCTCCATTCTGCTCCCCAACTCCTCCTATTCCTCCCCCTGCTCCTCCACTACCTGCCGGAGTCTTCTTCCATCCCAGGAGCCGTTTCACTACTGGGGGAGTGAAGGGAAGGATGGAGGACATGGTGGCTTGTGTACGTGTTTGTCTGGATCTGAGTCTCTTAATGTCCCTATTAATCTGATGTAATTTGGGAGAGGAAAAGAGGTTGATACAGGTCTGTCTGGATTCTTACTGGAGATTTAAAGAAAAACTATATATGTCAAAAATGCATGTATTTTTGGAGTAATGTCTAACCAGAACCAAGGCCTTGAGGAGTTTTAGGGTAATATCACGTGGAAAGAACAAAGCATAGGGAACGGAGAGGAGCACATCCAAAGAAATCTAAGCAACAGAGGGAAAAAAAGCAGAAGAGAAAGCACGCATTAACACATGTGAACAGCAAAAGCAAGGCAGTTAAAAAGACACAAAGTGTGATAAACAACTCAGTGCCTAACAGTTTCTTCTGAAATGACGACATCAACTATGCCCACACATCCAGATTGTTTTGAAGCATTAACTGATTCTGATTACAGGCTCTTCTGTTTGCACAAACAGGCTTGCGATCTTGCCAAAGCACTCATTTAGGTCCTTTAACACAAAGATTTATTTTTAGGGGTGCATGATGCATTGGTCGCCTTACTGATTATGTGCGATAATCACTGACCTACTGTATAGCTTAAAATAATTTGGACAAATATAAAAATTATCCCTGGCATATATTGATGGCATGTGTGATGCACGGTATGTGACTGGTGGGTCACAGGTCACATAGTCCAAATAGCAAGGGTGTGGATGATACGGTGTCAAAATATGCTATTTCTATTCTTGATTTGGTCAACCTTCAAGAACCCACTGAAGACAACTTAATCATGTTCAAGCAACTTTACCTGAAAAGAGAGGATTTTATGCCTGATGTGGAAAATCTTTGTATCTAAACTGAAACTAATCCTATAGTAGAAGGACCCCATTATTAAAACCAGTGTTCATCTTCTTGTAGGAAAGCTGAGCAGTGTCAAACTCTCTTAAACCCTGGTTGATAGCAACCTTAAAGCCTTATCAGATGAAACATGCAGCTACACGGACACCAACTTCAAGTTTGACAGATCTTCTTCAGACTATCAACTTTGGCAGATGAGCAAGTCATTGTTCTGAAAGGCAACAGTGATAGAAACTGCTCATGAAGTGCAGAATGGCCACAACACACTTCCACTGATAGAACCACTCAGTGATGTAGATTTCTCAACTGCCAGAGAGGAAAGGAAAACTGTCCTTAGCATGTTATTCTGAAAGCCCATGCTCCTTCAAAAAATTAATTTCACAGAGTTAACCCTTGGACCGCTTACTATTAGTGCAAGAATATGAATGGCCTTCAGAGCAAGTTATACCGCTCCTGAAAATAATTAACTACAGTCTTATTCCTTGCAGTTATTTGATACCGTCTCCACATCCAAGCATGCTATCCATTAGAGCAATCATACCCTGACTGCATGGCCTAAATAACAGCTTTTGAGAGAAGGCTTTCCTGCCAGCATAAGAAAGAAAGGCTAGTTACAAACAGTATGTGTAACTAAATGCTGTACCTTGACTGGAGCCCATGTAAAGAAATTCTTTAGCAAAATAAAAGATCACATATGTTCAGGATTGTGGTGATTCCTTTTGCTAAAGATCGACACACAAATGATGTGTTTAACAAACTCCTACGACAGCAAAAACCTTTACTGATGGAGGGGTACCGGGGGCAAAACCCTGCGTGAACAGAAAGTAAACAGAAAGTCTTAATGTAACGTTAAGGAACAAAAAGCACAAAACCTGCTGATAGGGCCACAATTCATGTGTCTACTTGAAATGCTGACCACAGCTATCAGGGCCTTGTGTGCAAAACAAGCAGCCTTATTTTGACTGCATTGCCCTGTCTTTTTTGTGTGAGAAACTGTCTGTTTGGGTTACTTCTTCTCTGAAACCATACACATAACAAACGCACGGTCTAAAGTGTAAGCCAACGCTACTAACGGCGATTTAGACTAAACAGCTAGTGGATGTAGACTTTGGCAAGCCACGCAAAGCGACTTCGCTCATCTCTGGATGTCATTTGCTATAATCTACAAATACACTGAAAATATTCAGGCTTCTTTTGTCTCGAAATGACTGGCAGTCCCCTCTCCTCCTCCCCTCGCCTCCAAAAAAAAAAGAGTACAAAAAATCCGCTAGCAAGCTCGCTACTTTGTGTCACAGACAAATAAACGAGTCCGTTGCATGTTTTGTCGCTTCTTTGTTCAAAACACACTTACCAAACCAGGAGGTGAAAGGACGCCAAAGGGTCACTCATGTACCTGTCAGAAAAGCCTGCTTGTTCATTTTAAATTCCGCCACTGAGATTATAAACTGTCTTTTCCACCTCAGAGGCGCCGGGATGATGGTCCCTCATTCAAAGCTCAACCAAACATGCATCGTTTCATGCCAAACACAAACGGCAACGCGATGCCACCATGCCACGCCTTCTCTCTCTTTCTACTGGCTAAACCCAGAAGATTGGCCAATAATCTGTCGACAAGCGTCTGTTCTATTGGCTTGAAGGCGTGTCCGTCACACGTTGTTATGTACAAAGGTATGTTGGTGATGTTTATCAGTGGGTACCTTGATTGACCTTTCATAAGAAGGTAGCTTGTCAATAAATTAAAATAACATGATATAAAATAAAGATAAACTTATTGTAATAAATAGAATAATAAAACAAAACATGGCACTTTTAACTATGCTCCCCTCAAAACTGCTACCGTCCGCACCGTGATAGACAGATTTTGTATAAAAGGTAAGAGCATGTAAAAATATAGGAAGCTATGCTCTTGTTAACAGACTAAAGATCACCATAAACTTTCTTAAGCCGATGTCATTCATTTATACATGTATATGCAGTAGACAATTGGTATCCTTCAGGATACCAGATTGAATCATAAAAATTAGGCTGTAGCCTATTTTTAAAAGGTTTTTAAACAACTTTTGTGTAACTTAGCCCAGTTTGTTTTACTAATTTATTATTTATTTAGTCATTCATTAATTCCTTAATCCATTCACAAATAAATGTACGCCTATCTCAAAAGCCTCAGATAAAATGTAGTGCAGCCTAGTTCTATAGGTGTATTAAAGTAGGCTACTCTTTGTGTTTGGATCAGTAGTGAAATGTTAAAATGTTAAACTAAGGTAAAACCTTTTATTGGCTGTAGCCTAAATGACCAGCATATTGCGGTTGGGTCATAAATCACATCATGCAAATATATAGTTTCAGCCCTTGCATGCAAATGTCTCTCTCTGTGTGGAGATATCATTTCCCGATGAAGGTGCATACCTGAAACAGTCTGCGTCTAATGGAAGCTGCAGTAATACGCCAGTCCACTATAATGTTAAAGAGCCAATGAGGTGCATGCTCTGTGCACAGTCTATCTCACCTGAGACCTGTTGCTCAGCTGCGCCTGAGACTGCGTTGTAAAGACGTCTGTTGAAGATTAAAAGGATGCTTCCATTTATCACTCTTCGTGATGGACATAAATACGCTACAGACCTACCATGTTATTGCCAGCCTATAAACAAGCTGGATGAAAAGACAAAAGCTGGACACCACAAGTCACTGTATCTTTTACATCAGTTGACTTAAAAGGAAGAAGTTCACTTACTTGTAAGTACATGTTTTCTTTGCCTTTCATTCATTGCCCAAACCTGTTAATAGGCTATATGGCACTTGACAGGTAGAATGACAGTCATTATATTCCATAGCAAATCGTTACAATTCAGTGTTGTATGGGCTAGAGTATGTTGTAGGCTCCAGGTTATTATTGAGCTATTAAGAAAATTCCCCCCTTTACAGTTTGATAACAACCTGGAGCCTACTCTAGATATGTGTGTGTGTGTGTGTGTGTGTGTGTGTGCGACTTGTGAAGCTCTAACCAAATAAAGTCAAGGGCAAAATAATGTATCCAACTTCTAAGAGCTAAGGAAAGAGGGAGCTACATTACATCTTCCCCACTGTCTACAGGGGCTGTGTGCCTAGCGGCAAGTAGGCACTGGATGATGCTCTGAGTGTGCAGACAAGAACAGATAATAACCCTCACGGGAATATCACCAAGGAGACAGAAAGTTGTTGACTGTGCTGTTTGCTATAAAAATAACTTAGGCATACTCATGCCATGTTATAGTTTCAAAACCATTTTATGTCCTTATACACAAGTTTTGATATGTGGTGTGTGTCTGATTTGTACATTACAGGCAATGGGCAAATTCTGCAAATGCTGCAAATGCAACAGCAGACTGCTGTGCTTGTGCCTGCTGCCTTGCATGATGACTGGACACCTTCTGGTTTATATCATGGTGTCCATATTCGTCACCATCTCCTACACACCCCCAAAAATAAACCCTCACTATACTGCCCCTGGGAGTTCTCCTAACTCTTCTACTTTGGCCTCTCACCCACTTGGCCCTTTCTGGAACCTTCGTCTGCAGGACAGTGCACTGTGGAACCAGCTGCAGCATGCCTGGGATCGCCAGCACAGCCCAATACTACGTGGAAATACAACTGGGGTAATGAGGAAGCCAAAAGCTAAGGTTTTATCAGAAATCGAGGAAGAATGCCTGTCTGACTGCATGTCACAGAAGTGTTCGGTCCCTCGTATGAAGGATTTAAACAGCCTGCCAGAACAAATGAAAGCATTTGTAAGATCAATGCATTGCAGGGAGTATCCCCTCCTTATCAACCAGCCTGGTATGTGTAGGAGGAACAACAGTGCCTATGGTCTGGAGACACCCATGCTCTTCATAGCTGTCAAATCTCAAGTTGGCAACTTTGAAAACCGGCAGGCCATCCGTGAAACGTGGGGACACAGTGGTCTGGTGAAGGGGGAATCAAATAGGAGAATCGGATTAGTGCGCACAGTGTTTCTACTTGGAAGGCAGGACTCCAGTACAGGTCCTTACCCAGACCTCAGTAATCTCCTGGATCTTGAGAGCCAGAAATATGGGGATATCCTACAGTGGGATTTCAGAGACACTTTTTTTAACCTGACCCTAAAGGACGTGCTGTTCTGGAATTGGATCCAGCAATATTGCCCTACTGCCATGTTTGTGTTCAAAGGTGATGATGATGTCTTTGTTCGAACAGGTGCACTTCTGGATTACCTGCACAAGCAGTGGGAGGAACACAGGCTGTGGAGAGTTTATACAAATGAAACTGAGTTGGATTTGTTTGTAGGCGATGTAATTAACAATGCAATACCGAACCGTGAACCATCCACTAAATACTATATACCAGAACAATTCTACAAAGGTGTGTACCCACCGTATGCTGGAGGAGGAGGGGTGGTGTATTCTGGCTCACTTGCATTACGACTGAAAGAGGTGTCTGCAAGGGTGCGCCTTTTTCCAATAGATGATGTCTATCTGGGCATGTGCCTGAACAAACTTGGGCTTTCTCCAAGCCATCACCCGGGCTTTTTAACTTTTGATCTCCCAGAGACAGACAGGGGCAATCCCTGTGCTTACAGATCTGTTCTCCTTGTGCACAGACGTAGTCCCAGGGAGATGTTAACACTATGGAAGCAGCTCCAGGATCTGCGTAATCAATGCTGAGGCTCATTTGCCAGCCAAATAAGAAAGATTAATGATGCCACCACACTCATTTCAAAAGCGTACACACTGCCTCTTCATGTCAAGCAGGCAGTAGCTTATAATGATCACATGCAATGTACCTATACTCCAAAGAGTTACATATCACTGAGAAGGGGACTGTTCTACCTCAAAGGGGTACAAGGGCATTACGGAACAAGGTCACATACTTGTGACTGTTTTTTTTGTACCCTATCAACCTATAAGATCAATTTACTACTTTATAAAGATAATATAATACATTCTGTACACAATGTTACATAATGTATATGTTCTCTGGTGAACATGTATTAACTTGTGTTTAAACTTGTTTTACTTTGCACTGTTTTTCCGCTCACTAAGCGATTCCTGAAGAGTAAAATTCAAAATGTCTCACTGCCA